GCAGCCGGGATTTCACTCTGCCCTTCACCATTTCTCTAGAACACACAGGATCACGACACATGGTGGGCGCAAAGCATGTTTGCTGAATGAGTGTGATTAGCGAATAAGTGCTAGGCGGCCTCTCTTTTTAAATGATCTAGAAAGAACGAGTCATTTTATAGTGTGGCATAAAGACACTGCACATGTTTGGAAAACCACCTAAGACTGACCTCGTTATATGGAAATTAAAGAAGTGAACAAAATGTTCCCAAGTGGCTCTCCAGATTCTGTTCTAATGAGGCCGTAGGATCGTTTGTTTCGGGTTGGTTATTATGTAGATAAAGAAAGTTATAGTAAAGAGACAAGGTAACACAGTACCAAGAAACATTTGTGCCAGTATCTCCTTGGATCTCATTTGGCACATCCTTCCCAAGTTTTACACCATGCCATAGGGCAGAGCTTATCAAGTTGTCTGTATCAGTGGTTCCCAATATTGACACAAATCAACATTTGTGATTGGAACATTTCTTAAGGTGCACTGTACAGTGCTTAGCAGCATCTCCAAACTCCATTCACTAGATGCTAATAGTAGGTCCCCAGGTATCTGTCCAGATATTGATAAACATATCCTATTAGTTGCTAGAGAATCACCATTCTGTATGATTTCATATCTGATTATGTGTATTTTTCCGTGGCTAACTACTCTCTGCAACTGCTCTAATCTGTCCACTTTGGCCTCTGGATCTTTCTTAAATGTTCTTTTTAAAAAAAAAATTTTAATTAATTAATTAATTAATTATGTATACAGTGTTCTACTTGCATGTAGGCCTGCAGGCCAGAAGAGAGTGCCAGATCTCATTACAGATGGGTGTGAGCCACCATGTGGTTGCTGGGAATTGAACTTAGCACCTCTGGAAGAATAGCCAGTGCTCTTAATCACTGAGCCACCTCTGCAGCCCAATACCCTAGGCAAGTTCTCCTGGAGGTCTTTGTACTGCCAGTTGACTTTACCTGGGTGTCTTTCCTCAGACGATCTTTCCCTGTACACCCTGCTCATCTTCATGGAGTCACTGTCTGTCTCCAGTTGTTGCTATGCCAACACATCTTTCTCAAAATCTTGTTCTTTACAACCCTCAAAAAGTTCTTGGAATGAAGTTGGTGCTCAATGAGCTGTTGAATGGGTGGGTACGTGAATCCATGTTTTATTGAACATTCCTTTAACCTGGAACTCTTCCGTGTAAGCCTCTGAGAGAAATTCATTTATATATAAATGGAATATTTGACTTCAAGCTGTGGAGGAAAATTGATATTCTATCCTCAGTTTGAGAATTAATCTCTGAATGACACCTTTCATATTACTTCAAAATTACATTTACCTATACACGAACAATATTTTGACAGGGGAGCATTTTTCGGCAATTTAGGCGAGCTATTAACTTCAAAGACATCTGCTTTGTCTCTTAGGCTGGCAGCATTAATCGAACCCAGATTGGAGAAATTATGGGTAGCACATGAACTTTCTCAAGGAGTCTTCAATGATTAAACAATAGTTTTCCATAAAACTATACCAACATAACTTCTCCTAGCATGAATATTTGCTATTTCTTATAAGTCAACAGTCTTGGAACTATAGAGTTCTCTTTTACCAACTGAGTTTGTTCTTTGGTAATTTTACACACGTACGTAATGTGCTCCGACTACCCCTCCCCATTGTGCCCCTCTCATCACTCTCAACCCCTTTTCCTACTCGTCCCTCTTTCAGATTTGTGACTTTTGGTTTGGTTTTGTAACCCATTTGGTTTAAGCAGTGCCATGTGTGTGGCCATTCAATTGGAACCTGATGGAGTAAGAGCACAACTAAAAACAACCACCACCCCCCCTTCCATAAAAATCTGTCACGAATGAGCAGTTCAGTACTGAGGGTGTGGCTCCCTGAGTTCCCGCTCCCTCCAAACTGAACCTTTTAATATTACAGGGAAGTTCATTGTTCTTGCACAACCTTGAACTTTACTGGTGTGTGCTGCAGAAGATGTGAAGATTTAACCAAAGATGTTTCATATTCATGGATATTTAAACATCTGTTAATTTCCTTCCTCACTCATCAACCAAAATTAAAATCCATTCAGTGTTTTGCTTTGTCAAAAAAGCAGTGACATTAGCAGTCTCTTGTCACTTCTTTCAGGGCTCTGCTTAAAGCGAAGCAAACTAAAGCCTACGCCTCTGTTTTAGCTTTAAATTCCAATAAAAGCCAACCCGATAGTATTTGATTTGGGTGTCTTAATACTTTATGTTTACCATCAAGATGTTTCGCATGGTACTCGCTGGGTAAGTTGAGTGCAAATCGCATCTCTCAGTTAATCAAGGTGATTTATCTGCAGCATAGAATGTCTGATACAAACCAAGCAAATTCTAGGTGACAGTTGCCTTTACCAATGGCCTTTGGCAATCTATACCACCATAGGCCTGTCTGTTTTGGGGGTGTACACAGTATCTTTTATAGATTCCAAAGGTGGTCACAAATTTCCCTCTGTACACAGAGCTGCAGACATAACTCTTGCAAATATTGAATGCCTACTCTCTTTTGCATTTGAGCAAAGAAAAGTTTCCTTTTTAAAAATCTCTTTGCTAACGGTCCTCATGTAGCTTCAGCTAGCCACAGTATCTCTGCAAACACAACCGAGAGGAAAGCCAGCATCATGGAACACTGGATAAGCCTGCTGTTTTGGCTCCAGCTGTTTTGTGTCTAATGAAGACCACATCCTTGAACTGAAGGAGAGTAGATTGTGAAGATCAAAACAGGAACTCATCCTGTTCCCATAGCAGAAAGAAACTGCATAAGCCCTGGCACTTTGATCATATTCAAGGTTGTATCTTTTTTTGTCTGGCCTCTTGCTTGGTCTGCTGAAGCTGAGGACCTACTGCTGCTCCTCAGTTCAGCCACTTGTTGGGAAGGGCACCCTTCTGTGGTGTAAAACATGATCTCCTGCGCAAGGGATAGGCTTTCTTAGAAGGCAAGTCTGATGCAGGCAGGAGGGCAGAAATAGAAGACTCTAGAAGTGTAACTATGGATGGAACCAATGCCAAATGAAAGCCATTTTGCTTAATGACTTCAGTGGGTGTTCCAGGAACATAAAGATGAGTCAATACTAAGAAAACTGGACGTTCAATTTATATAATAACAGGACACAAATGAAAGCAATAATAATCTATATAGAACCTAAAATGACACTGATACAATTCAACAGTCATTACTGCATCCCAACAATGGGATAAATTTCTAAAAACATCATTGTGACCAAAATAACCCAGCTGTTGATGTGACTGAGTCCCAGAGAAGGGTGACATCATTACTTGTAATTGATACAATTTTTGTTCTGTCTTGTGTTGTTCAGAAAGCCTTGAGACTCAAGCAAAAATTGGCTCATGTTGAAAGACCAGTGTGATAACTGGTGACAAAATCCTAGCTTTTTATGTCAGGAATGATCACCAGGGAAAACAATGGGCATTAGGAGAATGGAACGAGGAAGCTCTGATGCCACCTACTAAGAATTCTAAATGTATAGAAGTATTTTTAAGAAATGTACGACAATAGTTAAACTGGACTGAGAGACGAAGTATATTAAAGAGAAGTATGGACAACTCTGTCTTCTTTTGGGGGGAAGGAAGGTATGGGTTGTGCTGATAGGGTATGGGATGGAGGTCCTGAACTTCTCTAAGATTAGTGGCTGTCATAGTTAGGGTTTCTATTGCTGTGATGCTAAATAGCAAGTTGGGAAGGATGGGGTTTATTTGGCTTAAACTTAAGCATTGCTATTCATCAGTGAAGGAAGTCAGGACAGGAACTCAAATAGGACAGGATCCTGGAGGCAGGAGCTGATGCAGAGGCCATGGAGGGGAGCTGCTTCTTGGCTTGCTCAGTGCACCTTCTTGTAGAACTCAGGACCACCTGCCCAGGGATGGCACCACCCACCATGAGCTGGGCCTGCCCCCATTAATCACTAAATGAGAAAATGCCTTACAGCTGGATCTCATTAAGCCATTTCTTCAGCAGCGGCTCTTCCCTCTGATGACTCTGGCATGTGTCAAGTTGACACAGAAAACCAGTCAGTGCAGTGGTATACCAGTAATAACAGCACTCGTTGGGCTGAGGCAGGAGAGTTAGGAATTTAAGGCCAGTTTTTACAAGATCACAACAGTTAGGGCAGGTATCTGGGGTATGGGGTAGGAAGAGAGGGTGGGGTGCAGAGATTGTAGGCAGGGCTTTGGAACAGTGATGGTAGAATGCCTACCACAGGGCTGTGGGATGGCACAGTCACTAGAGCGAATGCCGGTAGGAAGACCTGAATCTGATCCCCAGAACCCAAAGGCATGGCGGTCTGTGATCCCAGTGCTGGGAAAGTGGAGACAGGCAGAACCCCGGGGCTTGTCGGGAAGTCAGCCTCACCTTTTTGGTCAGTTCCAGGCCAATGAAAGATCCTGTGTTTTGAAGTAATGGACAGGGCCTGAGAAGCTACCCGCAAGGGAGGGCCTCCACAGATCCTCACCTTTCCCAAGGTATAGCCTCCACAGGTCCTCTCCCCAAGGTGTGGCCTCCACATGTACACGTGTACCCTTGCACACTCACTTGCACACCTGTGCACCTGCAGCTCACTAACACTCTGCCTACCCTCATCTCTTTGCCCCTCCCCAAGAGTACCTATCCAGGTTCAGGACTTGAGGAGAGAGCTAAGAAATATGCTTTTTTTCAGATTTTTTTTAAAAAGTATTTTAACTAAGTAGCTTTATTCATTGACTGTAATAAAGGCAGAACATGATGTAATAGGAAGGCAAATACAGATGAATTGAACTCTGGGTAAGTTTTGAGAGCTATGTAGTCTTCTACGTTGCCACTCTAGAAGACAGTAGTCATACATATCTTAAACTCATTACTCTTGGTAATTTTTTTTTCGACTTTTTTACAGGCACTACCATCCTTACAGGCCTGAGGACTTTAGTGCCAGCAAATCTCCATATTATAAAGGCAAACTTAATTTTTCATTATTTGATAATTTCATACATGGCGTATATTACATTTTTATCAATCAACCCTTCTCTCCTCCAGTTTCTCCTTACTGGTTTCCTCTGCCAACTTAACCCGCTCTCTGTTTTTTAAAAGCACGCAGCCTACTTAATGCTGTCTGTGTGCACACAGGTGTAGGAGCCCCTCCTGGAGCTTTTCCAGGGTCTTACCCTCGAAGAAACCTCTTCCTCCCCCGAGCAGCCATCAGCTGCCAACAGCTCCTCAGTTAGGGGTGGGACTTCATGGGCGTCTCCTCCATCCAGGCAGAGATTTTGGCTGACTTGATTTGGGCCCGTCTTGTGCACACAGTCACAACTGCTGTGAGCTTGTGTGTGCAACAGTCCTGCTGTGTCGAAAAGAACAACAGTTTCACTGGAGACATCCATTAACTCTGCCTCTTCCATGCTTTCTGCCTCGGTGTTCGCTAGTCGTCTTCTCTTGCCTCCCCTGACTTTATCATGATCTATACGGTTTTGCATGTTGGAGTCAGACCTGCACTGTACTCAGCCTTGCAGGGAGGCGCAGTCTCCATTTCCCTTCCCTCTCCACCCCTAAGCCCTCCTAAACCCTTTTGTATCCCCACCCCTTTATGGCTTTCTTTTCTTTAATTGTCGTTACACACACACACACACACACACACACACACACACACACACACACACACACACTTTCTCTCTTTCTCTCTCTCTTTCTCTCCCCTATATATAAAAACACAACTTCTGTATAAAGTTTCTTGTATGCATGTTTTCAGGGCCAATCATTCGCTATTGGGGAGCCACAGTTGCATGCTCTTCCCTAAGAAGGAGATTGCTCACACTCTCAGCATTCCTCAGCTGTCTCTGGTTGAGGCCTGATGAGCATTCCTCCTTTTACATTAGTATGTCCATTGGTGTCATCCTTATCCAGATCATCTTTAGGAAGGAAGTCATGTTGATGGCACTTCATGGGCTTAGCTTCTCTGACATTTCTAGGAGACACAATCTCACAGCAAATTTCCTGTTCTTCTGGCTCTCATAATCTCCCCCTTCTTTTTTCTGTAATGATCCCTGAGCCTTCCATTCAAGAGTCGTATTGTAGATATATTTGTAGTTATTGGGTGCTGCAACTCCACACATTAATGGTTGCAGTTTTCTGTAATGGTTTCTGTCTGTTGCAAAGAGAAGTGTCCTTGGTGAGGGGTGAGAAATATACTTACCTGAGGCTATAATGATAAATATTTAGGATATAGTTAGGGATTATGCTGGTTTAGTAACACGGGGATTGTAGGTTCTCCTGCAAGATCTGTGACTTCCTTAGGTGGCTGGTGAGGTTTCTAGTAGCAAACATGATTCCCTCTCGTTGAACAGTCTTTTTTTTTTTAAATATTTCTTTATTTATTATGCATACAATATTCTGTCCAGACCTCATTACAGATGGTTGTCAGCCACCATGTGGTTGCTAGGAATTGAACTCAGGACCTTTGGAAGAGCAGGCAATGCTCTTAACCGCTGAGCCATCTCTCCAGCCCTCGTTGAACAGTCTTAATGAATTAGAGAGCTATTGGTCAGTGTGGATGTACATATGCCTCTAGTGTCCCCTTAGGGCTGCTGTGCCATGCGGGTGGTTGTCGTGGGTTATAGGCATCACAACTGTGACTGGGACTGTTGGGTGCCTCCCTTCTTTGCAAGCTTGTGTGGCATCTCTGGCACCATGAAAGCTGGTCCTAAGGGAGAAGGCTTTCAAGTCGACCCAGTTCTGGTCCTCTGGGCCCTGTCTAAAGGGCATGACATTTTCAGAAATAGGGACTTAGGGATGTCCAGTTTGGTTTGGGCTTTTCAGCTACTTCAAAAATAAAGCTTCAAGTTAGAGTTGTTTCTTTGAGTCTGATGTTTGAATTGTACTGTATTAAGGTCATGTGATTATAACAATGAAATGTAATTCTTCTTGAATCGGATTCTTTATATGTTCCCTTGCTCCCAGGGACTGTTTGAGATCAATTTATAAAGTGACTCAGTGAGTCTGCTTGGTGCACTGGAAAGATGGGCCAAGTAGGCCATTTGGTAGCATTGGGTTGCGAGCATCATCCATGCTGAGGATTCTGATGGTTGGCATGGTACCTAATTCGCATGACTGAAGATTGTATACTATGGCAAAGCTGCCATTCCTATGGGTCAGCGAAACTTCATTTTCAGTTTAAAACAAGTTGTTCTTTCTATTTCTATTTTCAGAAGATTGAGAGTGGTTGGGATAAATATGAATAAGCGATAAAAATGAATGCCCAAAATTAAACTGCAAACAGCCGCATACTATTTTTCACATAACACGATTTACCTGGATTATGACATAAAGTTGGGTGAGGAAATCACTCAGCACTGATATTTTTATAAAAGGACACAGGACCTTGGAACCTCCAATGTCATCCAAAGCATGTGTTTTAGAGTATTGTATTCAGGTATTACATGCTCTATTTTTGTGTCTTAGGCAACGTTTTCCTGCACCTGCGAGGACCAGTACATTGGCACATTCTGTGAAGAATTTGATGCCTGCCAGAGGAAACCCTGCCAGAATGAGGCGAGCTGTGTTGATGCAAATGAGAAGCAGGATGGAAGCAATTTCACTTGCCTTTGCCTTCCTGGTAAGGTTCACTTAGCCAGTAGCCAGCGGATGTCTCTCTGGAGAGTGTCCACACATCAATTATGGGCGGGCAAACAATACTTTGTTCAGCTGCTGGACAAAAGGTTCTCATTTGAACTTCTCAGTCTGCATATACTTAAGGACTGGAAGAAGGAAGTGCACACGGGCTAACCACACCCCTTAGCTTGCTTTCAGATGATAGGATGCAGTCTATCAGTTTTTTTTTTTTTTTTCCTGTTCAGGAAAATGATATTCTTAGTCAAGTAGCAGACTGTATGTTTCAGAAAACAATTGCACGAGTCTTGTCTTGAGGTGGGTCACTCCTTGAGCCATTATGCCCTCCTACATTTGTATGTCTGAGTTAGCTTCTTCTCCAACCCACTCATCTGAATGCCTCTCCGTTTGAATGTTCCAGGCTACCTTAAGCTCAGGCACCCCCAAATTGAACTCAGTGGCCCCAGGTCTTCACAGGCCATCTTCCTGTCTTCCAGCCAGTCCTCTACATGTTATCCTAGGTGACCCTTACCTTCTATTTCTACACTGTTTTTACGTCCAAGTATCCTCTGTTTTACCTCCTGAAACAGTTTGGTTTTCCTTGCTGTAATATACATGCCAAAAGGGGGAGCTCAAGAGGAAGGCCTTACTTGGGGTCATGATTGTGTGGTTGTTTGAGTCCTTTGTTCTTGGGCTGTGGTAGATAGACTTTGCTTTTATAGTTAATACATTTTCTTCCTTATTTAAGATACTGTGTTCTTGTTTCTGATCGTATTTTATTTCTTCTACTAAAATAAAAGCTATTTCGTAGTACCATTCTCATCAATGGCTGTAAGCTGTTCTAATGTCTTAATTTTTAATAAGGCAGTTGCACGATTTTCTGAATAGCATATCTTGCCTCCCACCCCCAAATTTCCAAGGGAGATCATGTTTACATGTAGGTGTCATTGCGCGTTGCTCAGAGATTAAACAGGTTTCAACATGAAAGGAATGATCTCCTTGCTTCCAGGTTCTTGATGCTTTGAGGCTCTTTGTGGAGATGTGTTGCCTGCTTGAAGCTGTCCACCTGTGGGAAACTCATCCCATGGAAGCTTGCTTTGTTTAGTGGGATTTTAAAACAGCTATGTAACACATACACACATACACACACTATTTAAAGTTTTGTTTTCTTTTTGAGAATTTCATATATGCATATAATGATATAGGATTGTATCTATCTTCCATTTAGTCCCCCCCCCCAACTTCCCCAGGATCTCTCTCCACATGCCCCTCTCAACTTTTCATATCCTTTTATGATTTTTAAATAAATAGTTGAGTGCGTCTGGTTTGACAGTGTTGGTAGAAGAAAGAGCGGCCCTGAAGGATGTATTACAGCCTTTGCAAGCAGCAGGGAGGTCAGCTGTTGGGGAACTGAAGGCCTAGCAGCTTAGCTGGAGCCTCTTTGTTGTTATACAAAAGGCATTTTCAGCAAGTCAGTTTCTGCATACCAAAACCTCTTATCTGATCTAGGAGTTGTCTGAAGGAACCGCTACCTAAGCAATTCTCAGACTTCCTGGTTTACCAGGTCTGTCTGGGGACTAAGTTATGCGGAGCCTGTGAACCCTTTAGGGAAAAGCGGCTCCAGAAACATCAGATAGCATCTCTGACTTGTCCAAAAGGTAACCCCAAAGCCCAGATGCCATCACTCCGAATTCATGGCAGATACAATGGCTCTGTGAAATCTCCCACTACTCCAGTTAGTGCTGCCCATGTGTGCGCACATGCGGGACCATCCACACGGGAGCAGGGACCTACCAGTGGCCAGACCCTCCATAAAAAGAATAGTTCTCCCTCTCCAGCCACTACCAACTGCCAACAGCTCCATCATTCAGGGGAGTGTCCTTGCCCATCTGCGCAGAATTCTGTCTCGCTGGGTTTTATGCAGGCTTTGTACAGTCAGCCAGATTTTTTTTCTTTTTGATTCATGGGCAGTCTAGAGATTATGAATATAGTGGATTAGAATTTGACTTGATTCAGCAACAAACTCTTGTCTTTGTTTGGTTTTCATTGGGTTTTTAAAACAATGTCTTGTAAGCAAATCATGACTTACAGAAAAGTCATGTACACTTCTGAATAATGTAAGATGAGCTCTGGCTCATTGTTAAGATTTGTATTACAAGGAAGATGTTATTACCAAGTGGAGTAGCTATTTCTCTTGAAACTGGCAATATTTCAGAAAGAAGATCATCCAAGACCTCAAATGCTGCAGGAGACTCTAACAGGAGGTCTTGAATTTGAAAGGAATTAAATCAGGCTTTGTCTAAGTTCTTGGTAATCTCCCATTGCCTGGTCCCCATGTGGGCCTTCTGATTTGAACTGATAAAATTAGCTCTCTTTGGGTCTTGAGCCTGCCTGGGTTTGGGGAGGAACACACACGACTCTCCGTCATGTCAAGCCCGGTCTTTGGTAACACACAGGAAATATATGACTAAAATAAAATTTAACTGTTTGAGCCAGGATTATTTTATTAAAGCCTTCTAACATCAATAATATAATTTTTCCTCAAAGGAGCCATTTCTTTTCCCTTTTCTGAAAAGGATAGCTGTGATGTGAATTCACAACCGCCACTGCCAAAATTTTATTAGTATTTTGCAGAGGATTTCCATAATGCCTCCAAGCGCCACATTCTTCTGACTAATCGGTGATTTTAGACTATTTTTAAGAAGTCATCATTGCTGAGGCACGTGTAGCCACATT